ATGTATTTACTAGCTTGTCTCCCTGGTCAGATCATAAAGGTCTCTAGGTTAGAGGTCATACCATTCTAATCTATGTGTCCACATTGTGCAAAGTGGGAACTCAGCCAATATTTTCCAGATAAAAGAGTCTTAGGTAGATTTCTAAATTTTTTGTTCTAACTCTATGAAGGAGGAAAGTGACGTGAAAGTGTCTGTTGCTCAGTCATGTCTGATTCTTTGTGACCCCATGGACTATAGCCCACCAGGCTCCTCTGTCCATGGAATTCTTCAGGCAAGAATACTGCAGTGGGTAACCATTCTCTTCTCCAGGGAATCTTCCCAACTCAGGGATCGAGCCTGGGTATCCTGCTTTGCAGGAGGATTCTTTACTGTCTGACCCACCAGGGAAGCCCCTAATAAGGAGGTCACAGGCATGAAGAAGTAAAGAGAGAAATACTTGAACCAAATTTAGTATCTCCCAATGGTAGGAGGGTGGAACAAAGATGGGAATATTTCATTTGCTCACTGGAATAATCAGAGTGGAAAACAGTTTACATCCACCTAGAAGATCTGAAAACAATAAGGTCTTGCTTGGGTAATAAATCCACCTGCAGATTGTTGGAGTGCATGAAGCTTCCCTAGGTGGCAGGAGAAGGTCACAGGGACATACATTTAAGAAGAGCGGATATTAGTATGAAGGGCCCAAGATGATTGTCTCAGAAGCATCAGTTGTCTTTCTTCCAAAGGTTTTAAATAGGACTAAAGTCAGACTATGCATTTGCTGTACTCTTTAAAAAATAATGAGAACATCTAGGTTTAAATGCTTCCTTTATCCTGGTCTGTATTAATAAGCCAAGTCTCCATTTGAATGGGCTGTGCAAGGCATGGGGCTGTCAGGAATGCAGCTCTGTCGTTTATGTAGAGAAGAGGTTAATGGGTCAAGAACCTGGAAGAAAACAAAATTCCTAAGTGACCCCAGGTTGATCCCACATTGATTTGTGATAAGCAAGATTTGCTTAAAATGGCTTTATCTCAAGTCCAGCTCATTTTCTTGTTGGCTGTGTGGTGTCTTCTTGGGAGATGTGTGCTGACAGCCCCTAGACGTACTTCTCTAGGCTAGAGGCCATACCGTCCTAATCCACGTGCCTACATTGCACAAAGTGGGAACTCAGTCAGTGTTTGCCAGTTAAATGAATCCTAGATGGACTTCCAGACCTTTTGTTCCACTGCATCACTGCCCTGTGACTGGGCAGACCGGGTCTCCAACCCCAGACCTGCTGTTTGCTTGTGTGTTCAGTTGCTAAGTCATGCCCGACTCTTTGCAACCCCATGGACTGTAGCCCACCAGGCTCCTCTGTCCATAGGATTTTCCTGGAAAGAATACTGGAGTGGGCTCTTGTGTCCTCCTCTAAGGGATCTTCCTGAGCCAGGGATCAGACCCATGTTTCCTGAATTACAGGCGGATTCTTTACCACTGTGCCATCTGGGAAGACCAGACCTGCTATTCACTGGCTGTTTAACCAAACTACCTGAACATTCTAATCCTTCACTTCCTTATTTGTAAAATGAGATTTAGCTCAGCGCTTGGTCCTCATGGACACTGGTAAGTCTGCGGCAGTGACTTTAATTAATAATTGACATTTGAGTTTGTTGTCAGTCACGTATCTCTGGACACATACATGGAAGGTCCTACTGTGATAATTCCCTCTGGAAGTGTGTGCAGATTTCTCTGTCCCCAGATGAGGTCCAGGAGTGAGTTTGGCTGGAGATAGTCATGGTGGTGCTGGTCAAAGCATGCTTGGTAATCATTCAAAGACAGAGCATGAGTAGTTGGATTAAATATCGGTGACTTTACAGATACAGAGAACGAATGAGTGGTTACCAGTGGGGAGACAGAAGGGTGAAGGGCAATATAGGAGTAGGGCAAAAGAAACACAAAGGGTTATTGTGGAACTATATGAAATCATGTGTGTGAGACTTTTGAAAGTTGTTAAGCACTGTAGAATTTAACACCCCTCTTTCATTCAATAAAATCGATCATATAATTCTGCAGATAAAAAGAATGCCAGTCTTTAGATTTAGGAAGTGTTTGGTCAACCTTCCTTTGTTCCAGTGTAACTCTATCCACTCTTGCCATGACCCCACCTACCTGAGGCTGTGCCTGGTCAGGATGGACCGATGGTGGGGCACTTGACTGACAGGGTGGTCTCAATCAGTCACATGTGTGTCTGTGTGTCTGGTGACACATCTCAGCAAAAGAGGGACTCCCAATGCCTTCCCTGACCAGGGAAGGGGTACAAATGAATGATGCTAGCCAAGTGTATGGTAAATGGGGAGAAGTGGGTCTGTGATGATCTGGCAAATTTACGACTGATCCAAAGGCAAGAATAGTCTCATTTTCTAACTTTAAAAACACTTCTGTTTGGGGGGAAATCTGCGAAGCCTGTGTACCCTTGTTTGGCAGTGGCAATACTCTGTGTCCACTTGTGGTGTGGGCTGGTTGTGGGAGTGGGCAGCAGTGGCCTGTGGGATCCCTGGACATCCTAGTGGAGCTTCATTTAGAGGGGCTGAATGGGGAAAAAGAGTTGAGCTTAGCCAAGAAGCATCTGCACAGGGCATGCTTTGGCCACAGCTTCTGGGCTTGCCATCCTGGTGTGTGTCCCCAGGGCCTGGTGCCTTCTGAGCTGCTGACAGCCTCAGATCCTTCTGCAGAGGGAAAGGGAAACCCGGGAAGGGCTGCTGGATCAGGAGCTGCCTGGTCCCTGCAGGTGACACTCTGGGTGACCTGGGTCATACGCTTTTCCTAGTTTCTAGGATACCCACACTCCTCCGCACAGGGGGACCAGGGTTATTTTACGTTTCCCAGGGTTTCTGCAAAGTGACAGCCTCTGTCTCAAGTCTGATTTCCCCTCCAGCAGCAATGCCCCTATTCACAAGGCCTGGACTTCTCAACAGAGGATTTCAGGGCAAAAAAAAAAGGCTTAAGGGAATAAGGAATTTGTAAATCTTACACGTTGGAAATAGGCCAGCAGTTCAGGGATGCTGAAAGAAACTTGAGATTTTCCTAAGATGACTAACACCCCTCTTTCTAGCTTCCCACCTACTCCTAGCACTCTAGAAAGCCCCAAAACACCATTTCTGGAAAGCCTGGTCATTAGAAAGCAATATAGTGGCCTGTATTTAACCTGGACCCTATATCAAAACCAAGCGGGAGGCCCGTTCTCTGCATTAACAGTGACCTTCTGCAAGAGATAAGGGTTGTGGTTCAGAGGCACAGTTTGTATGTGTGTAGTATGTATGTGTGTGTGTGCGGGGGGGTGCTATGTGTGTGTAGCTGCAGACCCCTCCCCTCCAGGCAGAGTATGACAGGGAGAAGTGTCACTGTGATTTCTGACAAATGAAAGGGGTGCATTTTACATATTTGGAAACCAAGACTTAGAGGATGGCAGGGTGAAGTCTAGATCAGCAGTGGTAGAGGGTTGAACCCCAGACACAGAAACCCTTAGGGCTAACCTCCCTCCCCCAGGCTGGATGGTAAGGTGGCTTGGCACTCTTTCCTCCAGGTGCAGGCCACGTGGTGGTTCTAACAGAGGTTGGAGCTGAGGCCTCCATTTGTACATTTACCCAGAACCCTCAACAGAGCAATTCCAGACCCTCTAGTGCCCCTGCAGCATTGGGCTTCTTACCCTGGGAAAAGGGAGCTCTTTGGCCAGAGTCCTGGCCTTTTAAAAATCGAGGGATCAGGGTTCCAGGTCGGCTGTCCCCCTGACTTGTAGCATGACCTTGGGCAAGGTCACTACCCCTATTTGAACTTCAGTGCTCCGTTTTGTAACAGGATGGGTTGGATTAGACCACTGACGACAGCCCTCCGTGTGCTAACTCAGGGTTAAGAAAAGTCTGTTTGCTAGTATATTACCTTGGGAATGACACAGATCCCCTTGGAGCTCTGAAGTATGTCCTGGGGCTTCTCTCAAGAGGCTTACATCCTCAGTTCCACTTAGCTACACTCAGTTCATGCATCCTTGATCGTCCAAAACACCTGGCCAGCAGCTCCAGTTATCTTTATCCTGAAGACCAGAAAGCACGAGCCCAGAGCACCCAGGTGGCTTTGCCCAGGCCATGCATCGCCGGGTGACAGGGCCAGGACTAGCACTGTTTGAGATCAGCTGGGGGTCATCTCCCATTTGCCAAGATGAATGTGGAAGATTGTGAGTAGCAGTAGGAAGGCAAGGACTTGATCAGCAGAGGGTGTCTCTTCCTCGTCCTTAAAGTTCAGTGGGGCCCAGAGCTAAGGGTTCAGAGTGCTGCCTGCTCACTTTCCCAACAGAGGTCCTGACCACACGGGGGGCACAGGGCTCAGGACCGGGTTCGAGCAGGGGAAGTGAGCAGGCAGAACTCAGGGTCACAGCTGCTCAGGTTCTTTTGTAACCACCCATCGTCCCAGCAAGTCAAGCAGCCCCCAAATCAGGCTGGGTGAGAAAGAGCAGTCCAGCATGGGGAACTCTGTCTTCCCCTAACTCATAGTGCTTTAAGGGAAGCCTGGGATCCCCGAGTGCAGCTTCCCTCCATGAAGTGGGTTGTGGTTTGAACAAAACAAGGTGCACTCCATTGACCATTTCCATGTCCATACAGAGAGGAATCCATTTCTTACATTTGCCCGGCCCTTTACACTTTCACCTTCAGGTCTCCCCCATCCACCTCGCAACAGTCCCCAAGAAGGCGGGGGTACCCCTCAACTCATTTCACAGATGACGATGCTAAGGGTCCCCAAAGTCACATGGAATGTGGGTGGCCAAGCAGAGATTCTGTACCATGCCCCTGCATCCCAGCCCCAGGCTCATCCCATTTCTGCACCTGCCACTGCCCTGAAGAGCCGTGTTTCTGGGGTTTGGGGGAAGAAAGTGAAGAAGATGTGGCCAGGTGTTTCTGCCCATCCCCCACTGGCTGGTGCCCACCCCCTGGGCAGCCCTGTCTGCTGAGCCCAGCACACAGGGGACCAGAGCTGGGAGGCAGGGTCTTACCTGCAGCGGTGGTGATGCCCAGGAGCCGACATGTGTATTCCAGCCCCGTCCAGAACACCTGCTGCTTCATGGTGCCGGGGGCGAGGCAGGGTCCCAGCAGGGCAGGCAGCAGAAGCTCTGGCCCGAGTGGTTCCAGGCCGTCTGTGTGCAGTGGGAGGCTGCGGCTGCCAGCTCTGGGCTTGTGCACGCTGGGGCCCTGCCTTCCCAAACCAGTCCAGGCCACCTCAGCCTGGCCAAGGTGTGAATAGGGCTCACCTTCCTAGCTTGCCAGGTGCTCGGCTTAATCATTACCTTGGAAGAATGCCTTCACTGCTCAGCACAGCCAGGGCCTGGTCTGGAGCTGCCGCGCGGCCCCAGCGTGGCCGCCTGAGATCCGGCCGATTAGGGCTGGGCTGGAGGCAGCCTGGAGCTGGCAATTAACTGTTTCTGGCTGGGAGGAGGGAATCAGCCGAGGAGCCAGCCCAGGCTGTTCCTTACTGTGCAGCAGAAAGGCCCAGAGAGTCACACCTGGGCCTCAAGCCTCAGAGTCTGAGAGTCAGTGTCTGGTGGTGACAATGTGCACGCAGCTTTGTGTGTGTGTGTGTGTGTGTATGGGAGAGAGGCATGTGTCTTTAAATCACAGAAACAACTTTTGAGATGAGTTCCAAGCTTCTATTCTTCTGCGCATAGGTGGATTAGAAAGCTTTCAAGTCTATGGCACGTTTGGACTCATGATCAGACATGCTTAGCTCAGGCCCATGCCACATACAGAATTTTCTTCATCCCTGATATGCATCCCTGACAGGTGATGTGGGAAATTACTATGATTCTTTGGGAGGTGAATTTCTATGTCAATAATTAACTGGGTGACCTTGGGGAAACCCAAAGATATGCGTGTGCCTTGGTAACTTTTGCAGAAAACAAATGAGAGTGTTTGCCTGGATTGATGGTCCTCAAAGCATGTTCTGAGGGAGGCTTGGAGGAGACTGTCTTCTAAAATTGGACAATGGTGGGCTTTTACTAATTTTTAATTTACTAACTGACATAGATCAAATTATATCAAGTCTTAGTTTTCCTTCCAGACATTTTCCTGAAATTTTTTATGCCTCTGCCCTGTGGGATAGACAACAAAAACAAGCACTAAATTATGAGGGAAAAAATCCTCAGACCAATGGTATGTGGTGACCTAAATGGGAAGGAAATCCAAAAAAAAAAGGAGATATATATATTTGTAGAGCTGATTCACTTTGCTGTACAGCAGAAACTAACACAACAGTATAAAGCAACTATACTCAAAAAAAAAAAAAAAAAACCCAGACCAAATTCTAGTAACAATAGAAAACTTAGGCATAGTATGGTTTGTTTTTCTCTTTGTTGAAAATATATATACCCTCATATAATAAATATTCTTTCTATTAAATTATTTTAATTTAATTAACTTGACCAAGATTTCATAAAGAATTCTAGAACTCGTATTTTTCACACTTCCTTCCCACTTTTAATGAGTTTAAGAACATCTGTGTTCATGTGATTTTTAAGACTGAGGTTAAAAAAAATGTATGATTTGACATATATATTTATTTTTTTGTTTACTTGACTGTGTTTTAGTAGCAGACAACTCCGAACTTCCCAATTTAAACAGATCTTGGCACTCGCATGGCCCTCCTGATACCTGGCTCTCTATGGCACATGCTGAATTGCACAGGTGGAGATGCTGGGGGCTGGGGTCAGCACCCTGTGGCTCATGTCCTTGAGGAACCTGTTCTCCCTGAGCTCCTTGGGAAGCTTTGGCTGGCCCCACAGCACATCTTGCTTCTTCCTTGATAACAGCAGTGATGTTGTAAATCTGGTGCCTCCGTACTCAGAAGACATGGAGTCCTTCCAGGCCTTGGTGGGCAGGGTCTGTTCAGCCCACTGGTCCCAGTTGTAGCCTCCCCTTCCTAGAGGCTGAGGAATGAATATGGAAGCCAAGTCTGGTCAGAGAGCTTGGAAGGGGCATGTACTGATGCGCTGCTGGGAAAGTGCCCTCACTTTAACCCGGGGCTGGACGGGCTTGACTCTCTCCTTTGGATATGCCTGTGTTGGTTGGGCAGGTAGCTGGCGATGAGGAGGTAAGGCAAAGGGCAGACCCAGCAGAACAGGGCGTCAAACATCCTTATGGAGCTGCTGAATTTACCTGTTCCTTGTTGGTAGCTGGTTGACTTGGGTTTCATGGCTCTTCAAGCCTTCTATTGGGATGCTCTTTGTTTGTGAGCTGGGCTTAGATTGGGAGAGATTGAAAATTAATGGTGCTGAGCATTAGGAACGTTCTTCCATCCCTGAAGGTTCTCTTCTTCACTGGGTTTTGCCCCCTTAGAGGGATGGAGGAGGGGGTTATGGTTTAGGGAGAAATCTGGTTGGGCCAGATTAGAACTCTATGAATTTAGAGAAAAGATTGCCAGGAGCCAGGGGTCAGAGACACTAAAATAGAAGTTGGCTGAGATGGCAGAGACATCCGAGTCTGACCTGGTAGTCCCAAATGGACCCAGAGGACAAGGAGAAGGGGCAATTCCTGGGGAAATAGTGGGACGACCCTGGGAGCCTGTGAAAAGCCAAGAAGGGGATGGGACAGAAGGAAGAACGGAGAACTGTGGAGGGCTGAGGAACATGCATAAAGAGTGTGGAAAAGTACTGGGAGCAACAAAGAGGGAGTCTCAGATTACAGAGGTCTAAGAAGCATTGTGCTAGGGACCCCGCTGCTCCTAACAATGGTGTGACCCGGGTCTTGCACAGAGAAAGCATTGTTTTGCCTGTTATTGCATCCTGGAGAGTCCAAACTTGCACTAGCAGATGGAAATTTTGCGGGGAAGCTTTCAGCTCCAAGTAGGGGAAGGTGTTCTAACCATCCTTACCCCATCTGTAGGATGAATTGCTGCAGGAGATAATGGGCTCCTTGGAGCCTCATGACTACTTGGTGGGGGGAGGTGCCATAGTGGGAAGTTCTCAAGCACTGACTGGATGATTCAGATCCAGGGGTCTGTGATTCTAGAAGGCTGTGATGCCTGAAAGAATAAAGACAGGGACTGTGCGAAGTGACATCACCTAGGACTCAAAGGAACAGAGCTGGGGTTTCCTACTTTGCTTAGCTCCTCTTCTGCCCACCTACCTGTGGGCTCTGAATGCCTGGCCAGGGAAGAGAATCAGTGTGGGGACTAGCCAGGATAGTTTCCAAACTCATTTCTGCCCTTGACAGCTGTGTGGCCTGGAACATTCCTTACCCTCTTGACTTCCTTATCTGTAAAATGGGTCTTACTAGGGGATCAGAAGTGCCGTGTCAGAAGGACCTGTCCAGATCAGATGCCAGGAAATGGAGGCTAATACATAAGTGAACAAAGTAAACTGCACCACGGCCAACCCTATGTAGGCTCATTAACATGGGATCCTACCCAATGAACCAATGATACCCCAGACTGGGGCACAGCCTGGCCCTGACATCATGGAGAACCAGGGTAAAAGGAGAAGCTGTTCTTTGAGATAACAGGGCTCACCCAGGGCTTCGCATACTATATTGTTTCATTTCATGCTACATCAACCAGAGCCCCTGTGTATTGCAGCCATAGGAAGTCTAGTTGACTCAAGAAAGTTACCATGGGATTTCCCTGGTGGTCCAGGGGTTAAGATTCTGTGCAGGTTTGATCCCTGTTTGGAGAACTAAGATCCCTCGTGCCATACGGCATGGCCAAAAAAAAAAAAAAAAAAGGAATTTGCCATAATTCAAGTCCTGACTCCAGGGCTGTGAAAACCAGTGATGATGTCAGTGACAATTATTATAACTAACATTTGCTTAGTATTAACAGTATTCCAGGTAGTGTGCTAAATGCTATATACACAACCTTATTATTATTCTTCACATTTTACAGACAAGGAAGCAGAGGCATGTTGGGTTAAGAGCATTTGCTCAAGTCTACAGAGAACAGAAATGAGGGGAATTTTAGTCCATTTGTCTCAGCTTGGGCCCCTTCTGTCGCCCTCTCTGGTTTTACAGTTGCCTCTGTCACAAAGCTGCCGATGAGACGAGACCATCCCAGGACCCTTGGGCAGATCTTTCAGGAGGGCTTGGGTGGAAGCTGGGTGTTAATTTCCTCACTGCTCCTGGATCCTAGGAAGCAGCGGTGGGTGTGGTGAAGCTGTCCATGCTGTCTTCCCAGTGGCAGTCCATGGGAATGAATGTCTCCAGTGCTGGACTGCAGCTCTCCCTGGGTCTCATCTAGAGCTTCTGTGTGTTGCTATAAATGGTTGCTTCACAGGACTCCCCATCATGCAGGATAGCCATAAATTGTGTACCATTAATAGCAGCACAAAAATTCCAGATGCTTGGGATGGCTCTGGGGAGCATGAGAAGTCAAGAAAAGATGAAATGTGGGTGTATACGAATCTTCATCTGTGAAGATTGCAGAAGCTTCAGCAAAACACTAGGAGGCTCACGGGCATAACTCAAGTGAGTGCCTGGCCCTGGAGACAACTCTCTGGAGCTGATCTAAGCCTTTGACCTCGTTAGTTGCCCTGTCACCTCACCCCTCATTTCAGCGTCTGCAGAAGAAAATAGGCCCTCAGACTTGCACCCCTGAACCCCTTGCATTTCTCTTAACTGCATCCTCCCCCTCACCTGTTCTTTCCTTCCAGCGGAGGCACAAGGGTTAATCCTCACACTCGTGCTGTCAATCACTGTCCTCATTTGTCCCCTGGGACCTCGGACCTGTATCTTCCTCTTTTGCCTCCACCTTTCCCATCTACTCATCTACAGCCAAGAACAAAGCTATCCTATAAGATGCTATTTTCCCCTGCAAACCACATGCATCCTTTCCTCACTGCACCACCTAGACTTTTGAGAGTGGCCTAAAGTTACCACTCCCTCCCATTATTTCTCTGTGTTTTGTTCCCTTGTCCACCTACTAAAATGTGGCTTCCACCTGGGTACATGTCACTGCCACTGTGCCGGCCTGGCAGCTGACCACCAGATCCAGTGGCCTAATGGCTGTGTTCTATCAGCTCCACCTCTTGGATTTTTTCAGCATTTGAAGCTATTAACATCCTTCCTACTGGAAATTCTCCCTATGACATTAGCCTTTGGCAATCATCCTTCATGCATTAGGGCTTGTGTTCTTTCTTTTTCTTGTGTGTCCTTTGCTAAGTCCTCTTTTCTGTTTCCCTGGTGGTGATCTGTGGTTGGTAGCCTCCAAACGGTTCCAATGATCTCCCCTCCTGGTTTTCACGCCTTGGAGTGTGTCCTCCTGCATTGGGAAGGTTGGTCTGCGTGACTGGATATGGCAGAAGTGGTAGTATGTCAGCCTGAGGTTAGGTTATAAGAGCCACTACCTTGGCCACTTTCTCCATCTCAGGGAGGACAGTTGCTGTGTCTTGAGGAGATAGACTTGAGAGGCCACATGTTGGGTAACCTACACCTCTTCAGCAGCAGCCACATGAGTGAGCCTAGAAGCAATCCCCTGCCCCAGTTGAA